TTTAGCACAAAAAGTAAGAATATACTACAAATATACTTTCTTGTATTTAAGTGTTTTTTTAGTGCACTCAAGTACACTTTTTTTTCACCTGGGAAACAGGGCAGATTAGCGTTAGAGCACCAATTCCAAAAAAGCGCGGATGGAGGTGGAAAGTTCTGTGCGTGATCTACTGACGACACGCAAATTAAAGAACACAGATGCCGCTGGATAATTTCCATAATGACCAATGCAAGGGCAGCGCAAATTAGCGTCTGGTTTTTTGGGCGGTAAATAATGGTGCGAATACCAGTAAATTGACTAGCGCAAACCTTAGTAAATCATCTTGCATAATTCTTTTAAATACTTTCCTCACACAAATTTTGCGTCTGAAAGGGAAACTCCTACAAATGCATATGCAATAAGATCAGCCGCAAAAACAACTGTGTCCACACCTTTTCAGCGCCAATTTTTCACTGCATGTCTTTAGTAAATCCTGTCAGTAGTTTTATAATGCAAAAAAGGGTTTGCGCTGGCGCAAGCTGTTAGTAAATCTGGCCTTATGTCTCTCACACACACACAATCAATCATAATCAATCAAATTGTGTTTCTTGAGATGTGATTTGCCATGCAAGGTCAGTCTGACCCTGCAACAGCTAGTCTGGATCTTTAAATGGTAACAGCAAAGAAGAGCCTGAAAGCCAAAGGTAGAGCTCAGGAATGCACTCCTATGTGCCTGGTACTACGATCAACCCATGCACTCCATGATCAGATTGTATATGGATTCCAAACTTTAGATTGTTTCTGTTCCATTGTTTGCAAACAATGAGCCATAGATAAGAAATGAATATTAACATAGCCAAAGATTGCTGTGATAAATTGTGTCGGTGAGGTGTGATCGCAAATTGATTATGCATGCATGTTCGATGTGCTCTATTTCTATCTGTTTCTTGTTCGTTTTCTCACATGCTTTGTCTCTTACACTCTCGTTCTCACCCTCCCTCCCCCACTTCATGATTGATGGCATTGCAGCTCTTATCTCAGGTAAGCCTGTGCTGTTACTTATCTAGCCCGACTGTCACTGGACAAGAAAGGTGTTTGCTTGCACCACTCAGACAGCAGATTGGCTGGTCCAGAGCCAGTTGGGATAAACCCCCAGGTGGCGGGACAGTGGCCAATGTAGCTGTGCTGAAGTGTGGATGGTATGCAAAACTACATTTTCACATTGAATGAAGAAAATGAGTGGTGTAACAAAAAATGGCACCAAAATGCTAGAGTGTTGTGGCTGGTTGCCAGGGTGTTGCTAAGTGGTTGCTTTAAAAGAGTCCATCTCCAAGCTATAAGTTATCTTACTATCTAAACAATCACACTGTACAACCACATGTGTTAACATGTGTTAGCTAGATACTGGCGTGATGGAATAGCACATTAGTGGTAGATTTACTGTAAGTATTTTCACCTACTGGAAAAGAATATGTCTACCATAATATAGTGATATTCTCCATGTCACAGTCTCTGGTGTTCATTACTGAATACTTAACCAAAACTTAACACTTTAAGCAAACAGTAGAGGCCTGTTTCTCCTTTTACGCATTAAACAGGCGTTCGAATGACACTACAGCATTACATCCCTCCTTCTATCCAAGGGACACAATTATCCCATGTTTTTTCTATCGGCCCACAAATGAGAGCAGCCGACTCTTATTTTCCCAGCTGTGCAGCAGTCCAGATGAGAACATTTTTTCTTCTTTGGCTTTTTGAGAATGGTACCCCTGAGTTGCAGGGAGCGTGTCCAGCTCCATTTGCAGAGTTCTTTGAAGACCGTAGCAACAATTACAGAGTCATGGCACCAGCCTCAATCTGTGAGCGTGTACTCACGCTAACCCAGCACAATCACTCCAGAAAAGCCCCAAAACATTAGGCAAAGTAAGGAAATAAAAAGACTACTAATTTTCCTTTACTCTTCGAAAAACATCTGACTACCCTTCAGACAACGCATATAACTGTGGTGCAATATGAAAGTAAAAACAGTCCTTGCAATTTGAATTTTTTATCTAAGACACAACATTTATGTGAAACGTATTGTAAATTTTATGGTTGAATATTGTAAAAAGCATGGTTGAAAATCAAATATTTTCCATATAGAAATATAGCCATATTTCAAAATGAGAGACATGTACTACATGGGCAAGAAAACAGCCAAAAAATTGGGATATAAAGGAACTAAAAGGAAAAATAGATGGTTCTCGCTTTCGGGTTGAGCTTTCCGCGACTGCGCAACTGGGGTATAGGTTGCCAGGTTGAGATGACAAACGGGTTGAAATTGTGTATGGTGTGTGGATTGTAAGGCAAACATATTGGTCCGATTATTCGTAAAGGAGTTTGGGCCATGCAAATTACGGGAGTTTCCCAGGAGAAATAACTAACCGGGAGGGTTCCGTGAGATAGGGCTAAAAAACGGGAGAAACCCGGGAAAAACGGGAGTGTTGACAGGTATGGTATTCTGTCATATGGTATCAAGCAATGAATGTATCATAAGGAATCTAATTTGCCCTGTTCCTCTGAGATAAAAGAGTTTGATGTACTATGAAAACATTCAGTAACTTTCAGAACTCAAACCTCCTCAGACCAAAATGACCACAGAAACTAGGCTGCAAAAAACAGCTTGTTCTGACTTTCTTACCTTTCAGTCTGAGCATCACATTTCTGCATGTGAACCTGTCACAAAATGATGCAGAATTAAAAATATATATATATATATATTATTTAGGATAGACAGTTAAAAACTATATTGGACGATATAAAACGGCATTCACAAAGATTTTTAAAGGTAACAAAGTTCTAAGGATCAGAGACAGGGTGGAAAATGGTCATAAATAACTATGAATGTCCTGGCACAAATATATATATATATATATATACTGTATATATATATAAAAATATGAAATGAATGAATTTAATAGTTGTCACCTCTTGAAAAGCAGCTCCATTTGGGTTTCTATTGCTGTTAACTGCTTTGACTTTTAGTGGCCATGCACTTGGTGTGCTGTGGAATTATTTAAACCCCTTCCACCGGTTTCTCATCTCTCTCTCTCTCTCTCTCTCTCTCTCTCTCTCTCTCTCTCTCTCTCTCTCTCTCTCTCTCTCTCTCTCTCTCTCTCTCTCTCTCTCTCTCTCTCTCTCTCTCTCTCTCTCTCTCTCTCTCTCTCCTTTCCTCCCTCTGTGCCTCAGCATTCCAATCATAGTGATGAGAGAGCTAGCCCCATACACCTCTCTCTCTCTCTTCCTCTCTCTCCCGCACTGCAGACTTCTATGAGAGTCTGTCCAAATGAAAATGTATTGTTGTTTTTCTCAATCGCTTTTTTTGTTTATTATGTCTCACATTCCTTTCACTTTACTGCAGTCTTTGGGTCTTTGCTATAGCTCTCATAATTACTGCCGTCAGTCTGCAAACACTTAAAGCCTGCATTTTCTTTTAACGCTAATTTGTCACGCCCTAAAACTGTCTCTTATGAACAGCCATATCTGCATGTGAACTTCTATTAAAAAAGCACTGTGAATAATGGCAAAAAATACCACAACGTCAAAACAATGATCAAAGTGCAAACTACTTTTTTTTTTTTTTTTCAGGCCAATTTTTCTACTTCAAATAATTGGCCACTGTAACAAATATTATTGCAGAGGTTGTGGAAAAAAAGCATCTGCTATGAAACTGCACTCTCTCCCAGCACAGCATTTCACTTCCTGGATCCAGTGCTTTAGGATTATGGAAGAACGCAATTCTTTGCCATTTCTGCACTGCACTTATTTACTAGTGTTAATGTCAGTGTGTCAGTATGTCAGTGTATCAGCCAATGCAAAGCTTCCAGCATGTTTCAGACAAGAGCAAAAAAACATCTTACAGTCATTTATGTTTTATTTATTGAGAAAGTGAAGTTAAAAATACACTCTAAGGATAAAAAGAGAAGAAAAAAAAAAAAGCTTGTGGGAAAGGGAGATCAGATGAGGTACAGTCTGTGGTTGACCAGAAGGGGGCCTCGGCTCCTTGCTGTGTCGTCCTCAGTCTCCTCCCCCAGAGTGTGGGTGTAAGAGTAAGTCTTCCCCTTCTACACTACTGAAGCCGTGCAGTGGGCGGCAGTTCTCCCATGAGGACAAACAGAGATAGGCTGGTTAAGACACTCCCCTGGCTGGGAGTGGTTGCAGCCAGCCCTTAGCCCAACCCACCAGGCTGTGGAGGAGGAGGAACACGGCAGTGCCCGAGCTGATCCCTTCAATCTTCCCCACAGTGTGGAGCAGCCGGCAGCGCGCACACACACTCACACACTCTCACACAGCCACACACACTCACACTCACTCTCGCACACACACTCTCGCGCAACAAAGCAGGCAGACGAGGGAGGCGTGTAATAAAGAAAAGAACATCACAGAGGAAAAACAGTGGTGCTGCACTTGGAGTTTTCGGATACTGCAGCCTGTCTGGAGTTTGTGCCGATTCCTGTGTGCCTCGTAACCTCACGGCTCACGTCTGGTCCTTTCCTGCGGAGGGTTTGAGTCCCGTCAGCTGTGCGCACAGAGATCCGAATCCAACGACTGTCTACATTGTCGCTTTGTGCATCCGCCAGACGGGAACAAAGTGTGCGACTGGGATATCTGACAAGCTCCTCTGGGAACCGACGCTGCACTGACTGTCAGAGAGAAAGAGAGAGAGAGAGAGAGAGAGAGAGAGAGTGAGAGAGAAAGAAGGAGCAAGATAGATAGAAAGAGGGCAGTCAAGGCATGAGCAGGAGACTAGAAGCCGGTTTTCCAGAGAAGTGATCGCCACAGTGCCCCCTCCTCTTCCCTCACCACCTCCTTTCCTTTTCTCCTCTCTCCTGTGCCGCTGCTCTCTTTCTACGCGCACACCTCCTCTGCTATCCCATCCTCGCACCTCCGCTGTCCTTCCATCACCTCCTCCTCCCCTGCTCCCGAAGACGCGTGAAGAGGAGAAGCACGGCGCACACACGCTCGCTCGTGTCTGTATCATCTCATTCTCTCTCTTCATCCTTCCTCTGACTCCGTTCCTCACACGGATCTAGCCTCTAGCTGCGGAACCACAAGCGGAGGCTTTTTGAGTGTTGGATCCCACACGCGAGTCTCTGTCTCCAGCCACAGCCAAAAGGATTCCAGCTACATGGGCAAACGTTTGGAACAGCAACCAATGTACCCCCAGTACACTTACTATTACCCTCACTACCTTCAGACTAAGGTAAGGCACCTTGGTTACCTGGTTTTGTGATGTTCTGATTTAATGCCTCACACACTTCCTTGCGTCCGCATCATTCTGACAGATTTCTGACACACAAACCACATGGCCGATACTTGACATGGGCCGCTCTCCCATTTATCAAGAATGCATGCACACACTCTTGCACACAAACTCACGATCCAGAGATTCTGTCCTCTCAGCTGCGTAGCCTGTGGTGGAGGGACTTGAATAATTGCATCCATCTCTCTAAGCCCCTACACCACCCGGACGTGGAGAATTGATTACCACAGGCTGATCGATAGTGCCGAGATGCTATCGGGGGCACTGGTGATCTTGGCCTCCCTCTGTGATTCATGAATGTTTTTATGCGCCGCGCCCCATAAGAGGCTGGCACTTGCGTTACATGTTTGAGTGAATGAAAGTGGAGAGAGAGAGAGAGCTATGATTGGATCAGAGTTTAAAAAATGGCTGTTAGAACAAAGGGCGTGAGGATGCATTTTCCTGATCAACTTGGGGTGAGTAAATTATGAAGTGCAAAAGACGAATGTGAGGGAAGAAAATTTATGGAAAGTCTGTTGGAGGAGTTGCTTGCTCAACGTTGGCCAAATATGCAAGCGTTCCCAAAAGACACATGACAAACGGCAGTGGCCAAGTCGCTCTCCATCAGCAAGTGTTTATGACCTCTCTCTTTCCCTCCTTTTACTGCTGTGTTACACTCCAAAAATGTATTTAGAGCTTGGCCAATCTCAACCATCAAAATCTCAGAGGAGCTTGCAGAAAACGACTTGATTGATGCCCTTCATCACTAGTCTATACATGACACTGGCAACAGGCACCGTATTACCCATCAATACACACACACACACTCTCCCCACTCCTTGTAGCTGCCTTCAAGGTCACGTCAAATTGGATCTTACCCACATCCGCTGTCTAATGAGTTTCTCAAGAGTGTCTCCAAGGGATGTGGGGGCTCGTCCAGAGCATCATGTCTTTGTCCTTCTCTCTTTTCGCAACCAGAAGTCCTTACAACAATAACTCAACTCGCTAAGTAGGGCCCGTCAAAGAGAATGCATGCATATTCAAAAGGTTTAGAATTGCGCAAAGTATGTTGGTGATCCTTACCAAAGTAGAGCACTATGGCAAACACTGGAGCATCATGGGTAATGGTCAAATGGGCCGGTCTGGGAATAATTATTGATCTGTAGAATATTAAAGGAGATGGAGGAGGTTTTTTGGCACTGGGAGAGAGTTTCAGATTTCAGATATTCGGTCTCGCCTGTGAAGGATGGAGACCTCATGTGAGCACGGGTCAGTGTGAGTGCGATTGTGTGTGCGTGCGTGATTGGGGATGTAAATGGCCTGTTATTAATCTTGATTCTAGCGTGCTCTCTGAGTGGAGGCATTCCTCCGGGGGAAATCAATCATGGGAAGAGGAAGAGGGGCAACTGACACACAATCTAACCTCGCTCTCTCTCCCTCTCCCTCTCTGCCCCAATAACGCTCTGTGCGCGAAGAGAGGCAAATGTTAAGCAGGGGAAATTATGATGCTACAGTAAGCTGTTAATGTCGACAATCAGTAATTCAGTTAAATTATATAAAGACCCTGGTATCAATTACATGTAAATTACTTACTTTCATTAAAGTAGGTTCAAAAGAAAATTAAATGTGGCTCAAAATTCACCCATTGTTTTATAATGTGGGTCATAGATATTACTGAACAAGAAATTTAGTGCAAACAAGATCACGCCTTGGGGCAAGATGTTGTTACACAAAGTAACAGGGAATCTATCTATCTCTCTGTAAGGCCTGTAAACTTTTAAACATCAATGCTTTTTAAATTTACCTCAAAGCTTTCATGCAAGGCTTTGTCAAGCCAACATTTAAAGCTTTTTAAAAAAAAAATGTATTAGTCATGAGAATTTTATTAATTTTAATTCTACTTCCTTACATATATTTATGGTCATATTTGAATGGAAATTATTCATCCCTCAATTCAAATTCAAAAATAGCATGCAACCCAAATCAATGGATTCACAAATCTCACAATGTAACTGTATTCCCCTAATGTGCATGCCTACAGTACCGATATCACACCACCCTTTCCCCTCTCAGGTTTTAGCAGAACATGGGCGGGTGTATAAACGTGAGTAGTGTGTGGGCTGAGGTATCCTTGACAGAAGCCATACACCAGTGGGATATAAAATAGAATTTAAGGGAGGTAATTCCCCCCTGGTATTGTGTCAACAGAGGCCAGTGGGGCCCCGTCTTCCATTCAATCAGCAGCTAGAAGTCAGAGCTTTATGGTGTGTGTGTGTGTGTGTGTGTGCATTGATGTTTCAAAAGAAGGGTAAGAGGAAGAGAGCCAGAGCGAGCACTCAAATCCAGAGCCATGAGATTGCATATGCGAGCAAGTGTGTGTGTGTGTGTGGTGTTCGGTTACACTCTGTGGGGTCAGCTTTATGTACAGCAGAAATAACATCCAGTCGGCCGTTTAAACCTCTCCTCTCAGTGGGAGTGCACACTAACTGGCCTGCAGTGAGGTGACATGTGGCTTGCCAGCAATGTTCCTGCTGCATTATGGGAATGATGCATATATGTGGCTCATTATATTTCTGCTGCTCTCAATGTCATTTAGGATTATTACGTTGTGATATTTACTCCGCTTGTGGATAATTACCAGACTGATACTTCATTTTCCTCTAGCGGCACCAATTTTTTACCACAACGGTGAAAATGCTCTCATCTCCCTTCCTCCAAACAACCTTCGTCTGAATAATTAAACTCGTTAATGGACAAGCAATTTACAGGTATCAACGACAATTTGATTTTCGGTATTCATTACCAACACTATCATTAAACAGGTGAAAGGATAGATTAAAATCTATAAGCACACTCAGCCGTTTCACACGCAAATGACTCACTGCAACAAATTGAGTAATTTAGACCTAAAATATGCTTAACATTTTGAATAATTGTTTAAAATGCGGTTATTTGTTCCATTAGATATTGTTGGAAGACAAATCCTGACTCCTAATCACTTGCCCTGTCCTGTGTTCTCCCTCTGAGAGTACAACAATAACATTACTTGTAATAGCATTATGTGATGTTAGACTATAATACTGTTTCTAAAAATTCCACACAAAAAAAATATTTGGGTTGTTTGTGCTCTAAAGGGTAGGCCTATATGAGCTTTTCTTGTTGGAAGCGAGCCATAATGACATACACGGAGACATTAACTTACAAGAGCACAGGCTTTGTATGCGTGTGTGAATTATACATGTAAACACTTCCGTCGGGAAAGAATGTTTGCTGTAAGTGTTTGCCTGTAACCATCGAGTTGGGGATTTCAGATCTGCGAGAGTGCTAAATTATGCTTGTCCATGTGTAATTTTTCTGTTAGCATCTGAATGCACATCTAAACCACAGATAGGGCCCTATGAAATCCATTTTATTTTTCCCCAATACGGTTTTATTTCCCCCTCCAAATTCTATTTTTATGGTTTAATTAAATTGTAATAATCAAAAAGGATGTCTAATCAATTGAATTCATAAAACTTGAAAATATATATATAATAATTTATTGACATTTTAACAATAGTGCCTTATTTTTTTCAGAAACTTTCAACCTAATTTTAACAGCAAACATTTAATACTTGCATTTTTTTAACTTTTTTTTTAAATACAAATTTATTATAAAAATCGTGGTTATCAAATTAAAAAAAATGTTATTAATCTTTTAAAATGTAATCAAATGAAATTTGAACAATTCCTTTCATTTTTTGGCAAACAAAATACCGTACAACAGTGGATTCCTATTTAAAACATGCATGGACAAAAAATTGTGTGATATTCCTTAAAATATAAAAATCTATCATATTTAACCATCCTTCCATCCATCCATCCATCCATCCAGATGATCGTGAATGTCTTTTGGAAAGCATGCATGCAGCAAACGTTCATATTTTTAGTCCATCAATGTCCTTCTCGTTTCCTCCTTGTCTTTCTCTCCTCTTCCCTCCCTTTTCCTCTCTCTCCCTCTCCTACTGTGTCCTAAGCATTCTCTCCAGCCATCTGTTCAGAGGGGTGGGGTTCACTCTGAAAAGAGGAAGGAACATACTTGGCAAACATACCCATATAGGTGGATAAAATGTTATGCCCAAGACTGTCCTCGTTTCAGGAGTAAAACGCTCTACATTAGTCATGAACATGAAAGGAAAAGAATACAAAGCGCACAGAAGAGCTGTTTGTAGCAGTACTTCAATATTTTCTGGCCCGTTCTGAAAGTGAAATGTGTTCTAGATTTTCACATCTTGCATCAGAGAGTAATAACTCTGATGTGCATCCAGTCACACAAAAACAATAAAAGAATGTGCAAGAAAAAACTTTAATTGTCACTCACGGTGCAGAGTTAAAGTATTAGTACAATAGCATTGATAAAACTAATAGTTCTGGCTGTAAAATCTGATCCGATGAGACACGTAAATATACAAACAAAAGACTATATTTCGATTTCATTATATTTATCCTCTAAACTATTAGAAAAAAGCTTATTGCTCAAAGATTGCTCTGTCATTGCTCTTTTAAACTTAAACTAAAAACGAATCATACTGATGATTCAAATTCATTTTAATTCAAGCAGATCACATTAAATTTGATGTTACTTAAGTGAATTTCACCTGGGAAAAATCACTGATTGATCCAATTAATCTTAACTGCTTCAGAAAATAAAAACAATCATCACAGGGCATGTTCACATGCTAAGTATAGCTTCTTTTACTAAATTTAACGCATGGCATGGGAGGAAAATAAAGTATAATAATGAGCTATTTCTCATTGAGTGACAAAACACACACCACAGCCTTCACAACTTATGCTCCACAACAGTAACCACAAAAACTCCCAACATAACAAATACTTTTCTAAAATCACCTGATTCCAACATTTACCCTTCTGATCCAGTTTAATAATAAACTTTATTTTCTATAGCGCCTTTAAAAGTA